ATTCCCTGGATTTCGTAAGATTCACGATCTTAGATCAAGAGAATTTTCAAACGGTAAGGTATAGGTATTCTAATATCTGAACTGTGCAATAAGAGATATGTCAACTAAAATAGTTTCACTCACGATATATTACAAAAGATAATATACTGCAAATTTATCAAATGAACAAATTTCAAACACGTAGTAACGAAGAGCAAGTAATTCCTAATATCTAGCACAGGCAATGGTTACCCCACACGGTAACCTTAATCCTATTGTCACCCCACACGACAATGCGCTAGTGCTGAAATTTAAATAGGATTAGCCAATTTACTAGAGCGGACCTATCTGAGTCCGTAAATTTTGAGAGATGCGAATTTACTGCTTTAGGGCCGCAATTTATAGCCTAAAGTAATTCAGTAAATGTTTTGCAATTTCGACAGTCGAACCCGCCAAGGACAGAATCGTCCAATTTTCTCTACGAAGCCTAAAATACTAAAATAATATCAGTACGTTCGGAAAATTAAAATAAAGAAACTGCCGGAAGAGAGCTCGTCGAAATCAGCCTCCACGCATCGTCGTAGGAGATTCACGCACCGTTACTGGAGCCCATGTACACCACCCCTAGGTGCGCCTCAATCTGCGGAGGTATGGGTGTGGCCTCAGTTTTTCCGGCAAGTCACTAGTTTGGCCGGAATTGAAGAAAATAGGTTTCGATTTTCGGTGAACTCGCGAGCCTGCCTTCCTCTCCGTCGAATTTTATTGGGATTCACACCAACCCAGCGCTCTTATACCAGATGTAGAGAACTGTACTCAAGTTACACGAAGAACCGGGCTCAGTATTGATCAATCAACACCACAAAACATAAACCCAATCACAAACCAACACAAAACCCACGCGACCGGTTGCTCAAGAACAGCCCACAAAGGAACCAAAGAAAGGAGGATATAATAGCCACATAAATCAGCCACCAAGGCTGAAGAAAAAGAAGAAACAATAGCACGGCAGTGAGCACGAAGCAAGAAGGTAGAAAGCATAAAGCAAAACCAAGACCGCCGTTTTTCTTCTCAAACATGAGGCTAATTAAATTCACTCTCCAAGCACAGTAATGAACATGGTAAATATAAGAGAAATTAGGTATGGACTTTAAGTTACAAAAATTAGGGCCCAATAGGAAATATGTTAGTGGGCTATCAAACCGAAAGAGCCATCCAGGTCTTGGGTTGAGCCATGAGCAACACTAATTAAATTAGGTTGCTTCAAATGGTAAGTAGATTATGTGATTGATACCAAATTGTGGTGTTCAAACATGTTCAGTCATTTGATCGATGCCGACTAAAATACACAATACTTACGTCATTGTCCAGAAATGTCGTTTGACAACAATTTGCTTAACACTAACAAATATTTTGGACGAAAACATTGAAAGAGACGAGATGTTCAAATTAATAGAACGCATATAATAAGAATTGATGGGAAAAAAAAATTGAAGATATAGAGAGAAGATGTTGAAAACAATAAATAGGGGCAAGTCATTTGTTCTTATTTTCATTTTGATCGTGATCTTTTTTCTTCTGCATGGAGTGAAGTTAACGAGGGGAGCAATTGAAGGAGAGTGAAGACAGTTGGATAACTGCTACGCTTTCTCTGTATCCGGTATTTTCTCTTCTTCACTTCTACTGCTGACTCGGGCACACAAAATTTCACACCTTTTTCATTTTTATTGATCCAATTTTCGTTTAGTACCAATTTGTCTTCATCACTGTTAATTCTTCCTTCATGTTGTTCAAGAATTGAGGAACACAAGTATTAATTCGTGGCTTTCATGAAACTGGGCCCAAAATCTGAAGCATTCCATCGCGATGGCCAATCATGGTAAGCCAAAAACACTCTATTTAACCCAGTTTTATTTATTTACTGTTGTCAATTATTTATGATTATGTCCCTTATGGAATGAAGTGATTTTTTTATTTTTTATTTTTGGGCTCAGAGTTTGTGGATTTACTGTATTGTCTAATCACTATAAGTTTCATGTTTTATTACAATGTTTACCCAAATGAAAAAATTTTGGATGTGAAGAATGAACTGAAGAGATCTCTTCAGACATTTCTTCTATGAAAGATTGCAGCGTTTTGTTTCTTTGATCTTATGATGTTTTGTGTTCTACATGAAGTTTGTAAGTTAGGGTCTGGTATTGTATTTGTTAGATCTTTGGGAGTCTGCATATGAACTTCTTCAAACTGTGCTCATTGCTATAATTCTACGATTCTTATAAAATGTGGTAAATTTGGGCATCTCTTTTTGGATGGTGTCTTAAGATGTGAGGATGGCAATTTTATCATTGGTTTTCTAATAGATGCCCAATTTAGTTATGTTTATCTTGGAGAAAATTTTGTGGTATGTTTCTACTACAATATTGAATACCATATACCTGTGATTCATTTCTGTCTTCAAATCATTTGGCTGCATTCATACAGCCATATCACTGCTTTCCGTGAAGCTTCTCGTGTGATCTTTGCAGGCATTGCACATCTGGCCTCTAGAGTGACGTCACAATTGAAATTGAAGAAATGTCCTTTCATCTTCACAAGGTGCGCATACTTAAGCTTTTCACGCCTTATTCATAGTCTAGTTGCTGCATGAGTTAGTATTATGCCAAAGGCATTGTGAAATGTGATCATTTTACGTAATCCAAATTCCAATAAGCTTATTGGAAATTGCAGTTTCCTTTGCTTTCAAGAAGAGGACTTCTTGAGAAACTAATTGGTGAATCTCACAACACTGATGGATCTGTATGTGACTTACAACTCGATCGGTTACCTGGTGGAACTAAAGCTTTTGAGTTAGTAGCCAAATTCTGTTATGGTGTTAAAATAGAACTCACTTCTATGAATGTCGTGAGTCTTAGATGTGCGGCTGAGTACCTTCAAATGAATGAAGAGTATGGGGAGGGAAATCTCATTACACAAACAGAAGCTGATAAAATCAAGGATTGGAGCTCTGAAACCATGAGAAAATCAAGCACATAAATGAGATTGGAAGGTGTAATTAACAGACAGAAATAAAGGAAGGAAATGACAGAAGAAAAACAGAGGGAAACCGGGATATGGACCTNAAATCTCATTACACAAACAGAAGCTTTTCTCAATGAGGTTTTTAGCAATTGGACTGACACAGTAAAAGCTCTTGAAACCTGTGAAGAAGTTCTTCCTCATGCCGAGGAGCTCCACATTGTCTCAAGATGCATTCACTCCTTGGCAATGAAGGCTTGTCCTGATCCAAATTTATTCAATTGGCCTGCGTCCGGGTACAATGAGATGGGGCGGACATCGGGTGCTTCGCTATGGAACGGTATATGTACTTCAACGAAACCACAGCCTATAAGTGATAACTGGTGGTTCGAGGATGTTTCATTCCTCAGTTTACCTCTCTATAAACGGTTGATCCAAGCTGTCGAAGAGGGAGGCATGACACTGGAGAATATTGCTGGAGCCCTCGTGTTCTACGCTAAGAAATACATTCCCCAGATGAATAGACAGTCAAGCTTCAAGGACTTAAATTCAGGTTCAACGATTTCAATCCCATCCGAGGCAGACCAGAGGGCACTTCTTGAAGAGATAGTCGAGATACTTCCAAAACAGAAAGGAGTAATACATACTAGGTTCCTACTTAGGTTGCTCAAGACTGCTATGGCTTTGCAGTCGAGTCCATCATGCAGGGAAAATTTGGAGAGAAGGATTGGGATGCATTTAGACCTAGCAACTTTGGAAGATCTATTAATTCCGAACATGGGATATTCCGTGGAAACCTTATATGACATAGACTGTTTTCAGAGGATTCTAGACCATTTCATGTCAATAGACCAGCCTTCAGCTGCTGCTTCTCCGTGTATAGTCGAAGAAAGTCAACTAATGGAAGGGACCCATTTGTTGACGTCAATGACAATGGTGGCAAATCTAGTCGATGCATATCTTTCTGATGTGGCAGCAGACGTTAATTTGAAGTTCCCTAAATTCCAGTCCCTAGCTGCTGCAGTTCCTGATTATGCAAGGCCACTTTCTGACGGCATTTATCGTGCAATTGATATATATTTGAAGGTAAAATTTCACTGTGGTAATTAGTATCTCAACTTTATTCATAAGGTTCAAAATATTACAGCTATGAATCATTCTATTCTCACGATATGCTTCAGCTTCCAGTTATAACGCATTTCCAGTTTCTCCTTGATAAATAAATTGCTTAAGCGTATCATAATATCAGGCACATCCTTGGCTCACAGACTCTGAGCGGGAGCAAATATGTAGGCTCATGAACTGCCAAAAGCTCTCATTGGAGGGAAGTACTCATGCCGCCCAAAATGAGAGACTGCCCCTTAGAGTGATTGTCCAAGTCTTATTTTTCGAACAGCTGAGGCTGCGGACATCCATTTCTGGTTGGTTCTTTGTTTCTGACAATCTCGAGAACTCTCAAAATCCCAATTCAGTCCTTGGGCTCTCGAAAACTGATGGCATTGAGGATATGAGGGAACGCGTCTCTGATCTTGAGAAGGAGTGTCAAAGCATGAAAAAGGAGTTCCAGAAACTGGTTAAGACAAAGAGAAGTTGGAATATATTCTGGAGGAGAAAATCGCACTATGTCAATGCTAAGTCATGACAGCAAAGCGATACAAAGACGTGGCAACCATGTGCCAAAGGACTCCAAAATCATGAAAACGGTGACTTGGGTTGTTAGTTTTAGAAAGGTAAAGCTTACATCTACTGCTTTTATTTAGCTGGTTCATATTTAGGCCACATGTTCTTGTTTGTCAGTCCGATGATAGTCCAATTTCTTGGTGGTTTAGATGGTAATTGATGATTGACGTGATCATTTTTTTTCTTAACTGGAAGAATTCTGCATTTTGTGGCTGTCCACTTTTGAAATTCGCTCTCTGGAATCTGTATTGCTCGGTTGACATAACCACTACTACAAAATATCGGTTTTATTATTGATACAATCAAACACACAATGCCACTGATAACTAGTGTATGTAGAACTAGAGTCTTATCAATATGCATCACTAGTATTTTTCTCCATGAATCTTTTTTCACGCTATAAGCATCAGCAAAATAATCCTTTTCACATCGAAGTACCATGATTCTCAGTAGCAGACGGTCTTTCTCAGGGACAAAAAGCAATTTAAAAGTGAAAACCTCACAATATGCATGGTGAAAAATAATTTTGCATCCAAATTTTTGTTTGGTAAGTCTTACTTTTATGTAAAATGTCTTGGATTTGCACGTTAGTTCACATATATTAAGTTTTAGGGATATCAGAGAAACTTGAAGACTGCTACCAGATTTTAGTTGTCGGACTCGTATATGCAAGTAAGTGTCAAATATACACACAAAAAATGCTATCGAATCCCAATACTATAAGTATACTTCAAGGTCGATAAAGTTATTCATTACTTTCTTCGTCACTAGAAAACACTTGATCATAGAAAAAAGTAGAGGTGTAACAATGAGTGGCTGCCCTCCCATCTGTCAACATCATTTCATAGCATATTCCTTAATGGTTTTCAGATTCAAAAGCCAAACCGATTAGACTCCTCAACAAACGAAAACTTCTTCAGTTAATTTTCTGACCAGATGAGCATATAACCTCCACACACGTATTTATGCCACATTTATAAGGTGAAGCCGGAACTATGGCTGGCTATCATTGTGTCTTCTGGCTATCATTCTGTCTTCTTTTCTGCTGCAGCCCACAACCCGTCACATTTCGTTCACACATTGCATTTCCTGCAAGAGCTGGAGTAAACTTTTCTCCTTGATGGGTCCTGATCATAAAAATCTAGGTGCATATAGATCATATATATATCAGGATCAACGGTCTCAAGGCCTTGTATTATGAAATATGAGATAAAAGGTGGACTAAACAATTATGAATTCAAATCTCGCCAAGAATTATCAATTAGCGTTTGTCTTTCTACCCATGATTTGCTCCAGAATGGCCCCCATTAGTTACCTGTCTTTGGTTGGATTAATGTTGTCTGATGATCAAAATTCAACAGCACAGGCATTAGAAAATTAGTTGAGAAACATGTCTGTAACAAAAATGGTCCCTCTTGCATTGTGGACACTTTGCCCCTTGATCTGTGTAAGTTGCAGGGTTCTCAATTTTGATGAGCCTACCATTATACCAACCTGCACTGCCAGGCGTCCATCATTATTACCTACCTCACTAGTACGTTCTTAAACACAAGGAAATTGGGATGTTTTACTGAATGACCACGTCTAAAACTATTGGAGGCAAAAATATTGTAAATGAGTAGTAATGGGACTTGAACTCGAAAATTTGCTTGTTGTGATGCCCTTTTAGACAGAATGTTCAACACATAACAGTGTAATATTGTGACGAAGTATATCAACACAGGACATGACAAAACAGTAAGTTGCCATTAGTTGGAGAATTACATAATCCATTTAGTAGTTACAACTCACAGAGGAAACAATTTTTTTACGTGACGGAAAATAAGTAGCTATCACATAGTGAGGTCATTCCCAGAGAAATTTACAAAAAGATTTCCCCACAGCAAAAATTTTAAAAGTTCAAAGTTAGCTTCTTCTGATGCCATAGTTCCTTATAGTTTAATGGTCTCTTCAGCGCTGCAAAATCCATTTTTCACCTGGATATATCATACTTTTGGGGGTAGCCAAGCTGCTCCGTCTCCCCAGTTCAGTTTTGTTGCAACTCTTTCGTGGCTAGGAACATACTCCTAAAAAACATAAACGTTTCAACAATTAGGCTTGAATTTTCTGTCCATTACTCTAGAAATTGGAACAATTTGTCTCTGTTCAGCACTATTTTTCACACGTTCAACTGATCAGCAGTCTAAACATGATAATGAGACATAAAAATTATTGTTCATAGCCTTTTTTCTATATTTTATCTTGAACTGCATGTCGTTTAGCTTGTATGAGTTATTTAATTGCGACCTGATCATGTAACTGTAATATTTACTTCAATATCAATATTTAACAATCAACAAAGGCAATCTTTGGAGGAAAGAATCTGTCTCCTATTTTCTTTTATCTGCTACTGAAAGGTAGTAGTGGCCTTAGGATTCTTAGGGTACATGCTGATGGTTGTGCTATGTTCAGCATTTATCCAGATAAGGGGAAAGTTTTTCTTCAAGAAAATTACCTCCAATTTCTTGACCAACTCCTTCGCTGTTGGTGCAGATACAATTATGTGGCGAGCATTTGGACTAATGAAGCCTTCCTCAACAGCTTTGTCAATGAATGACAATAAAGAATTGTAGTATCCATCCACATTTAGCAAGCCTACCTGCGAAATAAGTAATTCTTTTTTTTTTCAATTTCTTGCACAAAAGTTGCACCTTTAGCTGTTTCACTTCAGTTATGGAAATTGCTATAGGACAGATTCTTTAGACGAGTTGGAAGATTTAAAAGTTGCATATTAAGAAGTACCGGCTTATCATGAATACCAAGTTGAGCCCAGGTTATCACTTCAAGTAATTCCTCTAGAGTTCCATAACCACCTGCATGCATTTTCATGATTACTTATAAATTTTACTTGAGATACTTTACAGGTATAACAAATAATTCAACTCCAATGCGTGAATTTCAAAACTTAAAAACAAGGAAACAGAATCAACTTCTCGATTAATAGAGGGACGTGCTAACTGCCAAGGTTATTAGAAAGAACAGCCCTGTTTTTTAAGTTAACCAAATTATCAGCTAAAGTGATTTATACTAGCAACATAAAAAAGAAGGTGAGTGGTGGAAAATTACAGGAAAGTTGCAGCACACTCCACTCACCCAACCGCAGCCCCCTGCCACCCCACCACCAGCATTTCGTATTAATGAAATTTGTACGGTTTCTGTCACCAGAGACTACTTGCGCAATCAATGACCATTTTTTGGCAGGAAACCTCTGACCAACTCACTATTCGAACAGTATGTTGGGGACAAATGGTGTAATTTCCTCAAAGAATAATGACATCCTATCTTACCTTAGCTAGACAAACATCTTTGTTTCTAATAGGGAAACCAGCTGGCCCCAGACTTTTTACATTTGCTCAAATAGGCGTTCACTTCTCTCAGAGGCATGATCCTCTGCAAGGCTTTTGGTTATGATTTCTCTTACAGAATACTATAGTGTACTATGAATATGAGGTGCAAACACATTAAAATTGTGCCTTGAAAGGAGTGAGAATTATGTTTTGGTAGGTACAACTGCAAGTTGGGAATAAACAATTTGGTTAAATTACGATTAATTCTCCTTATCACCATTTATGGTAAGGTAGATTGATACAGTATCATCAGAAGATATTAATGCATTTAAGGAAATGAATCATTCACGCTGCAGGTTTTCTGAGAACTCTATGGCCCTAAGTTTCAGTGCAAGATGTTGAAAGTTGAGACTGTAAGCATTTAAGCAATATTTATTCAGCTCTATAAACATTATAGTTTTTCAATTAAAGTTCAATGCCGGTGTACGAGAAAAGTGAGACTTTTAATATTGGTGCAAAAGTAAAGCAGGCACTTAACCAACCTGGTAAGGCAATAAAAGCGTCAGAATGCCTAGCCATTTCAGCTTTCCTTTGGTGCATATCTGCAACTGCCTTCACTTCTCCTACAGTTTCACCAGTTAACTGCAAAAGGGTATATATCCCATTAAGCAAAAATGTTGATAAAGCTGAACTTTCTTTTGGTGGATGGGGTGGGGTGGGATGGGGTTGGATTGGGATAGAGGGATAGTTTAATTGCATTGATTTGTGTGCAGTGCAGTGATGCAATGATGAGGGTTGGAAAAATGGTGGATTTAATCCAAAAGTCATTAAATTTAGTACCTTCAGAGCCAGAGGTAAACACACTACCAGATCTATACATATGTAAATAGTTTTGAATCAAAGAGAAGGCCAGGAAGAGAATTTTGAAGGGCTGAAATAGAAATGGAAAATTCAGAGAAATCTTTTGGACTCTAAAAAAGGAAAAAAATACATGACCTGTAGTGAAAAAACTGCCACCTAAGTGCTCTACCCAATGGATAAGGTTTACCAGAAACAAGGACCTCAGAAGCCAAAAATCAAAAGCTTAACTCTTGTAGAGCTACTACTTTATGATCAAGAATTCAGAGAAAATAAAAGGAACAAAAGAAAATCAGAAAGAAAAAAGGGTTCAAAAGAAGGGAAAAGGAGCAGACAACCAAGAATATACCTTAAGAAGAAACTAAAGTAACAATAAATTAAACCAAGAAAATGAGAAGGAAAAAAAAGTAGCAGTAAAAACTAAAAAGATTAGTAATTTAATTGAAAAGGCTTAAGACTTTTTTAACCATGGCAGCCATACCTCTCGAGGCATAAGGGTCTTGGGAATAACCCTGTAGAGGAGACAACAACATGACAAAAAGTTAGTTTTTTGTGAAGAACTAAAATAAATTAACCATAAAAACAGACCCCAAAACTTAAGGATTAGAATTAGAATACAAGAAAAATGATACTCACCCAATAACATGCCGACCACCATCATGAACCGCTTGTGAAACTAAACCCATAAGCCCTATGCTGCCTCCTCCATAGACCAAATCAATATTCCTAGAAACCTTAAAAACACAAAAGACTGTGTGAGAATAAAGTTCCTAAGACT